CTAAATCGGATAATTTAAGGACAGTTATTAACTAACGATAAGTATTTCCTCCCTTATTGCCATCATAAATGTAACGGTCGTATATGCATAATTTTTATATCCTCGTTTTAAATTGCATTTTTAATTCGGTCATAAATATTTGATCTGCGCCGGCGAGGAAAATATTCATCTGATATACCGCATTCGAATAACGCAAGTATTTGTCCACGTTTTAATTTGTACATGAAGTATGATAAGCCGATTCGTGCTGATAAATAAATTTTCAAAATCACGCAGTACACTCTTACATACGTTAGATTATTATGTCGACTTTGAAATTTCACCAAGTTGGAAAAGGCTTTGTGTAAATCAATGTAATACACAGAGAAAGATATTTCTCTGGATTTAATCAAATTTATCTTTTAAGATGGATAAATGAACGAATATTTGATTCAACAAATAAGACTGTTTGGCTTCTCAAACAATAAATATCTCTTTACGTCAAATAATACATTTCGAACGCGAAATAATATTTGACATTAAATTATGTTGTTTATATTAAACAAACGCAAGTCAAATAAATACGTATATTAAATCCGAAGGAACCTTTTTCTCTATACGTATTTCTTGCATTTTCGGTGCATGCTTCTTGAAGAAATTAAACTGATTAAACACTATCGTGCGCACGATTTTAATATCAAAATGTAGCTCGAGTTTGGGAAGCCAATCCTAGGCACATTAGTGAAATTTTGAAGAAAAACTTGAAACTCAACAAACGAATTGCACGATAGTAAGGGGAGCCGCTTCCAAAATGTTTGAAGTTTCTCGTAATGGAGAGCAATGATATTAATTATCGTTGTAAAGTAATACCATTTTGAAGAATGGAAGTTATGAAAGTTTGCTTTACGCGCTCAGAAACGTAAGAAAGGAACTTATCCAGGAGACGATCACGACGAACGATAACGGAATCGCATTTCGACGGATGTCTTCCACGTGATCTCCTGACGCGCTCCGTCAGTTGCCGCGATATGAGGCGAGACAATAAAGCTGCAACAAATAAATCTTCCACGAGGAGCACTTCCAAATTTGAATTTCTACGGTCAGGAGCCTCGTACTAAAATTATCCACGTTGCCAAGGGTGAATTTGCTAACTTCGCTGCGCGACTCTAACGAACTTTCGGTGGCCCAGCTATTTTATCGCGCGAAGTTTTGAATGTGACCGAAGAAAGCTATAGTTACCTGAATTTATGTAATTGTGGCTCTTAAAGTATTTAAACTACAGGAACAATTTAAAACCCCGGGGGTTTACCGTGCTGCTGCAACAACGAATAAAAATACTGCTAAGAATCTCGGCAATGTTGCCGAAATCATTAACGAATTATCTCACGAGATATCCGATTGCTTTCTATCATAAAAAAAAGAAGAAAGAGATGGAGAGGCATCGTCAAAAATAAAGATATGGACACAATTTTGATCGTTAAGCGATTAATTCTCTCGAACGAATCAATCTTCCGGGCGGAAGGGTTGCCCATCGTTTCAACAGATCGCGATCATCGTTCATGTATAAACTCGTCCCGGAAATCTGACGCGAACGCATTCGCCTCCTCGTGTCCATCGTCGTCCACGACATTATAAATTGCAAAGTTCACGTAACAACGACCCACGTATGCGCCCTGAGCGTGACCCTGCGGGATGGTAGCGTGAAAAATGACTGGACCTCGCATTAATCGCGGCTACTTTAACGGTACGCCCGGAACGTGAGCGAAACTAAAGTTCGCCCCGCACCTGCGGTGGCGCCGGCGAAACGTCGATGCCGATGGATTCGTTACACGGGAACTCGGTTTGCGGTCCTGTACACTTACGAACACGCGTAAACTCTGTCGTCTGTCAAAACTCCGGGAAGCCATTAAAACAAATTACAGGAGGGCACGGCCGACTCGCGTATTTGCGATAGCGCGCCCGTGTGTGAAAGCAGTTTAGCCCTTTGATGTGACGTCCCCCATATAGGAATTATAGCGAAAACTTTCCCCGCCGCGCTGATGTGCCGAAACACTTTCTATGGTGACGTTGCATAATGCGTGGCTCGAAAAGTCAAGATGAAATCAATCGCAGATGATTAAGTAGCCGGCTAAAGTCACGTCGCGACCGTTTTGGACTTTCCTCAGCAGCAAATGCACGCCGGCCAAAACAGTTTGGGGGGAAAACGCTGCTAATCGAGTATATAAATTCCACATCGAGATAACGGGGGAATCTTGAGAATATATTGCCTTGAGAAAGCACAATGTCACGTCACTATAGAATCTCTTCGTTCGCTCATATCGGAAGCGGCGGGTAACGGAGTACGAGCCAATTCTCTCCAAGCCGGGGAAAAAGAAAACAACAGAAAGATAGCGACGAGAAAGGGGCGGGAAGCGGAATACGTGGAATTAGCTGTAAATCAATCGAACGCGCCTAACGAGCGTGACCCAGTTCGGCGGATGGTTTTGAACCTGGTCTTGAGCTCTTTTTCAGGTTCATTGTGTCTTTGGATGTGGGTTCTTTTCCGGACGCCTTGCGCTGCCTCCAGGGATATAAACTGAATGAAAACTTTCAGCTCGGAGTGCTATTTGCGTTCGATTCAATGCAATCGTTCGTGATCAATAATCTGTTTAAAGTTTCATGATATAATGACGCTACCCGAGATTGGAATAAGCGTGCTTATCCTCCCCCGAAATAACGGGAAGGAAGATGAAATTTCGCGCAAATATTTACCAATGAAATTATCATATCACATCGTCTCGCCGTTAGTGTATATGTGAGAGTCAATACACTGCTTATTGCCGAAAGCAATTTAATTACGAAAGATAAGGAAAGCTAATATTCATCGTTCTCCGGATAAGTCTTCGAATTTCCTCAACTCCGTGCAATAATGACAACTCCACGGTTTCACATTTGATTGATAATCAAAAGGATATTAATCTTACGCCATAAAATCGCATCTTCACGAGGAATATAATCCCGGTACCGGCAATCTTTTAGGCCCTAACCGGAGGAGAATTCCCATCTGCAGTGTAATTTAATATCGCTGCCATGCCATTTCCTCCCCCCTCCATCCCCCCTCCATCTCTCTCTCTTCTTGCCTTCGCTTCCCGGGCGATTCCATCATCGAGTATATTTCTGTGGAACCGCTTTCTTCATGGATTCCTTCAACAATTCAATTTAAGAATGATTGAACTCGGAAAACGTCAACTAGGTATTGATGAAGAACTCATTTCACGTTACGCCGGATATCATAGTATTACGATCGTGTGCGTCTTACATTTAATTATTACTTCTCCAATTATCTCTCCCCATTTTACCCACGTTAATTATGTAATATTTTACATTTGTCCGCGAGGAACACCCGTCGCCGGGACAGCCTCCAATTACGCGTTGTCCGAGCCGGGTGTAACGAGTTTTAGGCCCTTTTCATTTTATTATCGTTCACTTCGCTCGCCAGCTGCTTCATTTACACGAAGGAAGCGGCCACATACGTTACGATCCACCCCACAGCGAGTCAGACACAAGAACTCTTAAGTTCTCTCCTTTCTTCCCCCTTACCTCGAGAGGCGCTTCTCGTTTCGCCGTCGTTGCTTCGTCATTTATCCTAAAAAATGTGACAAAGTAGGATTTGACTCGACGTCCGATGAGAAGAGGAGATCAGAAAGACGAAAAACACGACGGTAGCGGCTGCCGGCTTACTTGCTTGCTCGCTTGCTCTCCGGGAAGGGTGCAGGTTGGAGATCAACGAGAAACAGCGTGTAACCGGAGAAAAAATACTCCCGGCAGGCGTGGCGCGATGCCGTAAATAATACGCGAAAGTCTTGGCTATGCCAGGCAAAATCCATCCCCCGACATCGCTTTTACTTCTCACTCTTGTTTCCCGCGGATTATAACGCCGTTATTTACGAGCCATGGAGTGCCTTTCAACTAAAGCTTTATATAGTGCAACACTGAATTTCCAGCTACTGAAGAACCGCGCCGGAATAACGGCGCGAAATTTATTCGTGCGCAGCGCGAACGTAGTCTCTTTCCCTCTCTCTCTCTCTCTCTCTCCGCCGTCCGATAAGTCCCGGCCGTATTTTTAATTGCGGCAAGTCCTACAGGTAATTTATCCTGTACAAAGTATACTCTCTCCATCGCGTCCGCGCTCGCAAAGGGAAAATGATGAAACAACTTACGAATGTAATATCTCATCGTTCCTCATTGATATCCTCCTCTCTCGATTTCTTCCTCCCTTCCCCCCGTAAAACCATTAATGACCACTTTGCTACTTTATTTTACCCGACGATTTATTTATCAACTTTACATCCAATCCTCGCGGCCTCGCCGCGTCGTTTGCGGGCGTTGCAATCAAGCGGAACGGTATTACCGACGGCGCTTTAAATATCTTATCCGCATTTTAATCAATCCGACATTCCGAATTCCGACGCGTACCGTCCGCAACTGCATTTCACCGGCGGCACACACGGCCGATACACACAGTATTTTCCTGAATCGCGGCCCATTCTCACGCGCTCGCACGTAGCAAATGCGGCCGCATCAGTTCCGTCACGTCAGTAGAGATTAAGCGGCAAGCGCATCAACGTCCGAAAAGTATCGAAAATTTAAAGAACGTCGGGCTCCTATCGACAGGTTCCTCAGCTCTCGAGTCACGTTTCGAATCGCGGTGATCGTTTCACAGAGACGTGCCTTCATCGGGACGGAGTTCCATGTCGGTGAATCCGCACGAGGAGCTTCGGCCGCCGCGAGTGCCAGCCGATCGCGTTTACAGAGCTCCAACTTCGTCCTCTTCGTGCTCTCACGCTGATTTTTCTCCTTTTTCCGATGACTTTTTTTCCCCTCCTTTTTTCCTCACACCGAGGCAACGAGACGGGGCTAGTTTCGATTCCACGGCCGAGAGGCGCTCGTTTACGCTTAAAAAACTTAATTAAAATGACAATCGGTCAGTAGCGACGGCGTGCCGGGGCGCCAGTTGTGCGTCACACGCACACGTGCGAGTACGTGCGTGGATTTCGAAAGGAGAGCCGGCGCCTGTGAATCGGCCGGCGGAGATCGATTAATTTTCTTCCTTCCACAACGCGCCTGTTAGTACCATTAAATGCAACGTTAACAAAGTTCTCCGCCGGTGAACCAGTGCCTTGTGAAATAATGCTTGTTCGCTGTACACTGATACTCTCTCGTTCGTTAAAACCATGCCGTTTACGAGAGCTTTGTTCTGAAACATCTCGTACGGGAGAAAAAATGAAAAGAAACAAAAATCAACCATAAAAGAGCGCGGAGAGGATGAACTTGGGACTCTGTAAACGTGATCCACTGGCACCCGTAGCGCTCAAAGCTCTTTCAGCATTATCCTTAGACCACCGAGGAAGAGTAAATACGAGACAGCTTTACGGGATTTAGAAAAATTGCAGTGCTTGATAATCTGCTGAATCTTCTACGTCAAATCAACGTAGTTGAGGTAGAACTGTAGAAATGCAAATTTGCAAAAATATCTAATGTATTTCATCGTAGATCTGTATACATAACGATAAAATATTGAGATAATTGTGAATTATGAAATGAATATTATATTATATTAGATTTTAAAATATGGCTTCCCGACGAAAGTAAAAATAGAATGCAAGGCCAGTACAGACGTTCTAGTACTATTTAAATATTAATAATGTCATTGTTATTATTATTGTTGGGAGAGTAAAATTGTCCATCGTGTACTGCGAATTTACCGAGTTCTTTCGGACAAACGGATACGGCATTTATACATAATAAATAAAGTCATTAAATAGCTCACGAATTTACTTAGTAATTGAATGAGAGTCTGTCGGGGGATTTTAAATTAATAACGGATAATACTGGGAGATTCAAAGGATCGGTTCATGCGCGGAAGACTGTCACTGCGCTCGTTTATCCGAAAAAATATATAATAAATAAGTTTACTCTCCCAATAATATTAATAATGACATTATATTATATTATTTGACGTTATAAATATTCTTACGTTATAATATGTTTGGCTTTATAATATACATGACGAAATTAATTATGTTGTACCGTTTCTAGAAACGCACCGGTCAGAACGCAGTATTTCTAGCACGCAAGCAACCCAGTATAAAAACAAGCATCGTGCAGCGCAGGCTTTATACTGAATGTCTAAATATTTATATAGGACAACTAAGACGTGATAATATGATCTTTTTTAAGTTACTCCTCTGGGCCTCTCCAGGCCCTGTTGATGGTCGCCAAAATTAACGCAGAATATCTTGAGCAACACCTCATCGGTGCTTAGATCTACGCGAATTGAAAATACGCGAATGGCTCAAGCGAGGTAACTTCGGCCGAGGCTGGCGATCGCCGACTAATAACCTCCAATATTCACAGCGATACCAAATGACACTCATAAATATTCCTGCGCTCGAGAGTACAATCAACACCAGCGATCGTTCGATATTTAAAAACGCTCGAGGAGAATCCCAATAAACGAAAGCGTCAGTCGGCCGATCGGCCCTCGGCGTGGATTCAGGGCGACGCCGCGCACGGCAGTTCCGGCCAATTATACCGGTGACGCGACAGTACGAAATTGCACGACAAACAAATTGTCGGCGACGAAATCGCCGCGAATAATTCTGAAGTGCAACGTTTCACTCCCGGGCGCATCACGGCGAATTACGGCTTGGCGTCGTGGGATACGCGTCGCGGAAAATTAAATGTCAAATTAATGCGGACGATAAATTCACCGGGCGAACGGGACGCCAAGGCAGACGTGCTGTACGTACGTACGGACGTACGGCGAGGGTAGCAAATTTACGGCGCATTATCTGGAATTTAATTCGACGACATACAAACGCGTGAAGTACGACTGATAAGACGCCCGGCGAGAGAAGAGGCGAACCGAGGCTCACTCTCTCTCTCTCTCTCTCTCTCCCGGTGTGAGTCGGAGGATTGCCGCGGAGATAACGAAATCGGCCGTGTCTGCTTTACGAGTGCTGAATCCTAGAGCCCGGCTAAAGCCGTGCTCGTACTTACGCGCCGGTAAATTTACTGACGCCTCGCCAGTGCGTATTTCGTTGTACCTTGAAAGAGGCCCGCCATCATAGGGGAGATCGAGGGTGAAGCCGGGAGCCGGCTTACACGCTTCTACAATCGATCCAGTGCTGTTATCAGCGCGTATATATCGAGATCGAGTCACCTTAAATGATATATATATATATATATATATATATATATATATCATTTAAGGTGACTCGATCTCGATATATACGCGCTGATAACAGCACTGGATCGATTGTAGAAGCGTGTAAGCCGGCTCCCGGCTTCACCCTCGATCTCCCCTATGATGGCGGGCCTCTTTCAAGGTACAACGAAATACGCACTGGCGAGGCGTCAGTAAATTTACCGGCGCGTAAGTACGAGCACGGCTTTAGCCGGGCTCTAGGATTNGGAAAAACGAAGCGGCAATTGAAAGGGCGATGAGAGTCGAGCCGAGAGAGCCGGCGCCAACAGAATCTTCCCGAAGCGGCTTTGTTACTCGAGACGTCTATCCGCGATCCTGGTAGGGAGCCAAGGATGCAGGGAAGTAAATTTCACGTCGGATTATAATGAGAGAACTGTATGTACCGTGTTTTGGAATTCGTTATTCTCCCGGTGTTTGCGAACGTATATAGCGCGCTTTTCATGACAAGATCATTCAATATTAAATCAATACAGACGAGGCAATATTAACATGATAAATAATAAAAGATAAATAATAGGCAAATAATGAAATGTAACCGACAAACCGACAAACAACGAAGTGTGGAATTTTGCGGTGGCCACGTGTTTTCCCGCTGACGTTAATAATGACGATATAAACGCGCGGGCTCTCCCATGTTTGGCAAAATAAATCTTTAATGCCCCGAAGAGAGGAGAGAAGCGCAGCTGTATTCCCCGTGCGGGTCTCACAGAGGCGGGTTTATAAGTTATTAAGAACGAATTTTCTGATTATGCAAATCGGCAGAATGGGATGTTAAAGCCCGCGGCGTTTTCAAATTAAACTTTCATGCCGGTTATAATGAAACGCCTAAACTCGAAATTATAGTTTCTCATTTTCTAAATGCACGGCGCGGCTGAATTATTAGAAGTTCACAACAAAGCAATAACCGGCGGCTAATTTGTTACACACCGGGAGAGACGCATAGATTCGCTTATTATTACGTTAGTTTCAGATCCGTCCCGCGATACATTCCGCCCTCGTGGCGCAATAAACTAAGCTTGCGCATTTCGCGACGCGTCGCGCGCCGCATATAAAGCGAGATATCATCGAGTCGCTAAATTAGCCGCAAAAATGCGCGCGAAATTTTCACGCGATTCCCGAAACAGACTCTGTGCTTCGTTTTCACGCTATTTATCCCCAACAATTCGCGGGACGTTTCAACAAATGCTCGCCGGCGCGCAAATCTCGCGCGACACACGGATTTCCGCTTCCTCAAATGAAGGATGAATCGGCGACTCGTGCTATAAAGCACCGAAGAGTCGAACTTTCAAGAAACGCAAAGGAGTTCCGGAAGGCACTCGCGGAACTTTCACGCGAAGTGTCGCGACGAACAGTAGCAGCGCGAGCGAGTGCGCCGACAGCGTTCGACGTCACCGGCGCAAACTAATTAATGCACCGTGGAATGCAAACTCTCGTATTTGTTATATCGCGTTGCGCATTTTCATTCTGCGGGCGGACGTCTGGCCCGAAGTCGCCTCCTCCCGTCGTCCGTATTTTCGCCGAGACGGAGGCACGGTCGACTGAATTCCAAGCGGGATATCACCTCCGGCTAGCCGGATATCGATCGATATCCGAGGAGAAGACTCGCTGAGAAATCACCTCGGCCAACCGGCGGAGAGCCGTTTGCGCGATGCCGGAAACTGCTTAAGCAAGGATGGCTTGAAATTATCGGGAGGTAAAGCCATGGGCAACCGGGCATATATACACACGCCCGCACCGGCTACCGACGCAGAGAGGAAACGGCGAAAAAGAGAAACAAGCGGCGAATGCAGCGAGCGAAAAGCCAAGGCTGCGACTAGGCAACTTTAGTTGCAGCCACGGTCGATGCGGTCGTTGCGACCAGACGACGGCGAGCATTGTTGCTACATGTAGGTCAAGCCGAGCTGCACTTCCGGTGACGACACGCGGACGGTAACGGCGAAAAGAAAGGAGAGCTGGAAAGAGAAACACAGCGGTAAAAGCGGGCCGCGTCGTGACGCGAACGGAAAGAAGCCGCTCCCGAAACGAGACCACGGGAGACGTTGTGTCAACACCTTAAGGTCTGAAAGGCGCGACCCATCGCCTTTAACGTTTCGCCGGGAGCTAAATGACCAGTTTGAGGATTCTCGTTAAGGATAACGTCTTAACCCTTGTAATTGCGTAACTGCATGCAATTTGAACTGCTATTCCCCGTGCTGGGACCTCCCGACGACCGATGCATCGCGTAATGAGGGAGACTGCGCCGTAACGTTTAATTAAAGGAGACCGCAAATAAAGAATGGCAGCGGCGGCATGCAACCCACCGTCGGGCTGTCTTTCAGGCGAAAGAAAAACAAGAGCGTGTTCGCTCGATGCGGGTGGTGACTCGTAAGGCCCGCCGAATAATTAAGGAGGGCAGGTATTCGTATTGTAAAATAAACGGGAACGATTTCAATAACTTCCAACGCTCCATCGTAATTATCCAACCGCGTGTCGCGGAGCTCTCTTTTCATTCGTCGCATAATTACCGTCCCTATCGTTTTAACAGCATAAATCAATGCCGGCTCGCATAACGAGTAAATTGATTCTGGTCGAAAACGCGGGGTATCGCCGCGTGGATTGTTAATCTTACGAGGGCGATGAGAGATCTTCTCGCATGCACACCGCGTCCCCGTGGGAAGAGTTCGCGCCGCTAATGGTGAACGATTGATAATTTAGCCCATTTACGCCATTCGGGAATAGCAAACGCGAGCGGGGATAGATATGACTGACTGTGTCAACAACAGTCGAGCGCCCGTCGTTGGAGATCCGAATGTGTCGCTCCGAGCCCGCCCTCTCGTATTTCTGATATATTCGTTCGCGATGAAAGGCACGGGGCTCACCTTATCGCGCGCCTAGGTCCCCCCGCGACGCACAATTCGAAATTCTGCACTCTCAGCTGTATCAAAATGTTTACGCAAACTCGCATATCGTCGTCGATACAGCTTGCAATAACTCGATAACGCGCTGGTTCGCGTACGAGTATTACAACGCTCCTAAAATGAAACGGACATCGATAAAATATTAATCTGCAAAATGCGTCGACTCGACTCAATTCATTTGCGCGTCGCGCGAGCGAGCGGAGCGGCCGTGCTTTAGGACGCGCGTAACACATTTCGCGCGACGATAAATCGCAGCCGTTCTATAACTGGGTGAAATTATTTCCGCGTTTAAAGAAGCATTTCATTCGCGAAAATATGTATTATTACAATGGGAAAAAAAAAGCCGTAAGAGAGGCTAAATATATTTTTCAAGAGTCAACGAAATAGAAATTTTGTTTTTGTTAGAAGATCAACAGCGGATGTATCCTGCCGAAAGACGCAAGGTGCAGTAATAAGTGAGAGGTACATTTGGAGTTTCGTTTTCTTCTTCTTTTCAGATCCCACCTTGCCGATCCCCGGACGGGCGAACAAACTGAGAGGGCAAACCTGGATACGATATTAACGCATCTGCGAGAGCGAGTTAAAAAGCGCAACGTTATTCTCTCGAGGAAGTACGGCACACCCGTTAGAAATTAGGGTAAGGGTAAAAAATGAATGTGGAATATCCGTCCGGAAACCGAGCGAGCAGTTAGCTCCATTTGTTTTCGGAACTTCGCCGCGCGGCGTGTTATACCAGTCGAAACTGCGATACTTTGTTAAAGACGCAAGAATTGTAATTTGCATCTAGTAGTAGTCGGTACTTTCAAGTGGGTTAATTCCTTGACGGTTTCGCGAGCGCTACGAACTCGCCCCTCCCTCCGTCTTCCTCTTCCTCTTCTCCTTCGGCGACCGGGTACGGTTAGGATTTGCCTTTGTTAAACTTTTTATCTCCGCCGCCTTAATGACGTTAAGACTACATTTTCGCGGAAACTTTAAATTGAAATTCGACTTCGTTGATGGGGCTTTAATTCCGGAGACGTATCACGAAAATATATCGCCAGGACACGGCGGGACATGGGGGATAAATTTCGCGGTAACTGACGAATATTTAAAGCTACTTTAAAAGAAGCAGGCGGAAGTTGATGCCGGTGGAATTTCAAGTGAGTCCCGAACAGCAATGTACATAAGTATGATTAAATTTGCAATACGGCCGGCCGGACGGACAGACAGACGCTCGAATAGTCTCGCTCGATACGTTGATTTACGAGAGAACCGTTGCTCGGCGCAGAAAAAGAAGTATCAAAGCCGGAACTCCGTTCTGAAAGGATGTACTTCGTAAAAAAAAAAAAAAAAAAGACAAAAAAAGGAAGACAAAGAGAAACTGTACTTTTAACGTGTGGGAGCGTTGAAAGCGAGAAAGAAAGGAGCAGGAAGCTGTTCCTGCGAAGTACGTTTCATTATTACCTCCGCGAACGTTATATATACTTTACGGAACAGTGCTAAATTTAATAACACAGTTTAAGGGTTTCACGCGAGGAAACACCGCCGACCATCGAAAAATACCCTCTTTCGCGGATTTTAAAAAGGCTCGCGATATACGTAATTCGTTCGAGACCCGACGGCGAGTTGAAATCGCTTTAATGTCCTCGTTAAAGTACTAGGTGGTTGAGGGTAAGCCTTCATAAATTACGGCCTCGTTATGTTCGCGAAATTAAAAATTGTGCGTGCACTTACTCCTCGCGGGGGTGAGGTCTGGGCATTTCCCACGAGTTCGTTCGTCACCACCTGTTACGAAAGGAAAAGAACATAAGTTAACCGGCAGAGATAAAGGCGGCGGAGAGTGGCATAAAAAAAGGATCAGCCGTAAGACAGGCTTATCCGACGACTTTCGTTCGCTGCGGCGGACTTTAATGTCTGATATCATCGGCGTTTCGCATAAAAAGTTTGCTCCGTCGATTTATCGAATTCCGAAACTCCGTTGGCTCGCGAGAAAACGGACAATCCTTGAATACTCTGAAGTACTTTACGAGGGTGCGATTTATTATACTTTTCCATTTATAACATCAAACATTTTTTCAATTTATATTTAAAATTATTATTTAATTAAATGCAATGGCAGACACCGGCATGCGTACACTTTTCTGAACCTCTCGCGCGCCGGTTGACCAATTTCTCCGCTGTGACACTCCATTTCAACGCAAGTTTTTAATTGGATCGAAAAACGTCCGCGCGCGGGCGCGTACGCACGGGGAGATTACAGAAAATCAAGAGAAATCAAATCGAAGCGAATAAACTGAATTTAAGGAAGCCGCATACAGCACAGCGGCAGTCGCAAAAACGGCTAACAAACGAGAACGCGCGCGCGTCACGCGCTGCGAATTCGCACCCGAACGGGAAAAATCAAAAAGCGTTGAACGCGAAAACGCTTTGACATCTCGATATCCTTTCACAGTGCGAACACTGGACGTAGATTGGCACGCGCGCTCGTCGCGCGTCACGGATAACGCGCTCGCGGCAATTTCGCGCGTGCGGTGAAAAATTAACTCCCCTCCCCCGCTGTCGCGGCCTCGAGCGCGGATTCGCAGGTGGGATGGTCGAAAAACTGGAAGCGTAAAAAAAAAGAAAAAAGGTGCAAAGAGCTGCAACGGGAACACGACGCAGGAGACTTACGACGCACGCCGCCTCCGCCCGGGGGACTTCCTCCCGCTTCCCGGTAACGATCCGATTACATATCCGCGACATCGCGCTGATGCGCGCGAGCGAATTTGAACGGTCGTTTTCTCGCGAGCCCTGTAATACCCGTCGGATACGACTTAATTACACGGAGTGCCGTAAACCTGCGTTGAATCATTGTCACAATCTTCGCGATTTACGCCGGCCGGCGCCGCAGGCAATGGATTTTCCCGGGCCGTTTCTATCGCATGATTTACGCCCGAATGTACTTTGCATTCCATTTACGGGGAAGGGTGCGTGCGTGCGTACGTGCGTGCGTGCGCTCGCGGGGGTAATCCGCGGCAGTCCGCGCGCGGCGGCGGCCTCGCCCGGTAAAGCCCCATACATTACGCCTTATTTACACGAGCGTGACAAGTTTCTCTCGCCGGCTCTCCCCCTCCCCCGCCTCCCTAGTCTCACGCCTCGTGTTTCGATGCATTAGCTTGAATGCACGTTGAATTCGTCAGCGCGCGAGCGCGCGCTATTGCGTTGCACTACAATTAATATGCATAACTATGACCGCGTTCCGGCGCTCGATAACGCCCGCTCGAGCGGGCGAGCGAGCGAGCGAGCGAAGAATCGCGTCGAGCCGCGCGTAAGCACTGAACTCTATACTATGTTACCCTGGAATGCTGGGTGACGCGTTAAAAAGCCGAGGTAAAGGGGATATGTAAGCATAAATACGCGGAAAAGGGTAATCTTAAATCAAGATATTCTCATCTATAAGCGAGAATATTAGAATCTTCTTAGGAGATTTCGAGTCTTGAATAGAGTTCATATAATACTGCATCAATATAAATTCACTCAAGTCGAGACTAAAAATCTTCTAAGAAAACTATAACATTCTTGTACATATATGAGTATATCTACTCTTGATTCAAGACTAATTTTCTTTCTGTGTGCTCCCCTCCTCTGTCCAGTGATTTGTGATCGGTCAGCAATTTTTTGGGATCTCCTCTGATTTACGTCCGAATGTATTAATTTACTTGTGAAAAGTTCGACGTTCGAGCCGTATTGTTCATAGTTTTTACAATTTTTTACGACAGAACTTTGACATTTTTTTATCTCGTTCGCTTCTAATAATATTATAATTTTATCAATTACGGAATTCCTTGTACGAATGTGATACTTTGAACGAGCTGATATTTTTAACTGGAATGGTACATCAACATTAAGAAAGGATACAGACAATACTTCTCTTCTCTTTCTATCTCATTTCGCCCGTTTTCCCCTACGGTGCCTAACATATTCCAATATAATATAGAGTTCAACGCGCGTAACCGATTAATTCTCACGCGCTATGCGCGGTAGGAAGCGCACCCGTGCAACTTTTTTCGATTGTTTCTTTGAACGATAATCGCGATAATTGTTATTTATTAAACGTTATTTATGCGAGTCGCGTACCGCAACTTCCGCTAAAGTGCCGGCCACGAAATCTCGGCCGATACGGCAGCGCTATGCGCATGGAGGGGCGATAATTTATAATTTTTACAGTGCGTGTTACACATTAATTGCCTCGCACACGAAGGTTGCGGGCGAGATAAAAGCGGATGGTGGCGGTGACGTTGGTGGTCGAAGTGGGCGAGTATCTTAATTGGCGCTGGACACGCGCGTAACATGTTCAATGTATTCTAATACGACGGTGAAATATAGCGGGATTATAAAACTTGGATGCGAACTAATTGGCCGGTCAACAAAGTTGCGAAATTTTTCGCGAGCCACCTGCACGTACGGAGGGCGAAGTTGCGACGCGCTATTAATTTCCGGCGGCCTTAGCGCCGCAATATCGCGCCCTGGCAGTGGTGCGCGACGCGTTTGTAATGTTACATTGCTAAATAACGCCCGACAATATCGCAACGCGCCGTGACATAATGCAGCGGACGGCGCGACAAAGGCCCCTTTGTCCGAAACCGTCTTAATTCTCATTACGCGCGAATGTGGCCGTTCACATTAGTTAACGCTATTAATCGGACGTATGCGGAATCAAAATTTTCCACGCGGCTGGCGCGCCGATCGATTCGCCGACCGGGAAATCTGTTGGCTGTCAGAGGGAGTAAATTAAAAGAGATACGCGCTTTCTCTCTTTCTCTTTCCCTGGGAAATTGTTATCGCTGTCAAACTTCGTTCTTCTTATCCCGCGCGCGGAAGAATGCTTTGACATTCCGAGCTTGATTATGTTCGGATGTAGCTCCTTTAAGAGGGCGTACTTCCTCGTAAAGAAATTTCCTGCTTCGAGAACTTCGCTGCATAAGTTCATTTAACTCTAAACTCTCTCTCTCTCTTTATGAAACTGATCCCGTGCATAATTTTGTCAAGCGTGAAACGCCGTGCTCTCCGCAAATACGCGCTAAACATTACATTCCGAACTGTAAATCTGAAATTGTCGGCGCGCAATAGCGGAGGGATAATTTACGGAGATCCATGCCAACGTTCCTACATATTCCAGCTCGTGAAATATTTCACGACTTGACAAACACATTTACAGGGTGGAGTCTGGGCGATAATCAACAACTCGGTGTATCCCACCGCGCGCTAATCAAGCCTCGATCAAAGTTTCTGTATTTCTTGCACCGTGTTTTTCAGCGAATTTCGACGTACAGCTGAAATAAGGGCGGGATACTTCGCACCACCACATTCGCGCGCGTACGGATCGCTGGAGTAACCTTCGTAGTAATTAGAAGTTCCTAACCGTCTGGATGATCTTCCTGTAACGGATCACGGTCTGACGCCCGCCGCGTACTGAACTTGAAGGGTGGATCAAATTCGCCCACACGTACGCACGACGTGCGGAAGTTGCTCGTCAGTGTGGGCACGTACCTGAACGCCCACACACTGGCACGCGCGTGCACACACACACACACACGCGGGGAACGGAATTTGTACATCTGAATCCAGGAGCCCGAGGATTAAGCGGGCTAGAACCACGTACGCGTGCGTCCGATACGCACGTAGTAACCCAATCCTCTTAATTAAACGCCCGCCGAGTGCGATCGAAAAGTCGGAGGCGATTATAGCGGAAAAATTGGCTTTCTTGCGCCGAGCACTCGCGTTTGCGAAACGCGCCGATGTGTTGATTATAGCGCGCGACCTCCTTCGCTGGAAGGGCCCGTCCTAGCGAACTTTATGACGTTTTATTCACGCTTTTCTTCCGAGAATGTTCCGGAAAATGATACCGCCGGCAAATTGTGCGGTAGTTTTCTGTGTAAACGTTATTTCTACATTATCAAACACTTTCCGCACCTTTTAATTGCCTACCATTGTTCCTGGATATTAACGGGTTAACGGCAATTCATCGTTGTAGATTAAGCTAGCATTGATGAAGAGATGAGTTGAATACTTAGTTAAGATATTTAATGTTAAGACGCTACTTAAATCGAGAAATATTCGCAGCCATACTTCCGGACAACAACAACAAGATTCCGCAATTGCCGCTGAACGTTCGTCGAATAACATCTGGTCGGACGAGCTTGGACATTCCCAAGCCTCGAGTGTGAAGAAAATTCTTGGGAACAGCCTGTTAAACGAGTCGGAATGGCCCGAAGACATGGGGATGGCGGCAGAAGAACCCCTAAAACCTTCCGTAGAAGAAAGTTTGTAAATCATTAGAGGGGCCATATACGCTTGGGAAAACCGACGAGTTTCGCGCGGCGCCGCGACGTTGTACAATTTTCACGAAAACCAACTCCGCCCGTGGCCGGGCGCGATTTATCGTTAACCACGCTACATTCGCCGTTAATTCGCCCGTGAGAACAAAAGATCTCGAGCGTGACGGGGGGATTTTCGAGGTCTAAATCCTATATGCCTGTGTATCCATCATTTGCGCATGCGGTACATTCGTAAACTCATATATATTAATTATCCCCCGATATTAATAGCACAACCGATGCGCGTATCTCTCGTGCGCGGTAACTAATTCGCAACGATCGAAGTCACATTGCGGTGGGAATGGTCGTAGGACGATACCGTCGATAGATAAATCGCGCATGATAGATAACGTTGATCTAACTATAAATTATACATGTACGTATATGTGTAATTTTCATGCTAACCAGTTAATCGCGCCACAAGCGTGATCGCGTTGCGTCAAATCGCGCGTCCTATAATTACTGCGATCGAATATTCCGTCAACGTATCACCGAATCATGGCGTGTGTCCCCCCGTATATCCCGCGAGCTATTATAAAATATTCGGCGACCGTTACCACGTGTCGGCGAGTTTGCGTGTTCGTTTGAAGAAAGCGTTTGATCAAATATAAGGTAAACCTGTGATATGTTCAATGATACAAACGTTAATCGGACTGATAATGCGTGACGAAGGTTTCAATAATCTTTACCGTTTCCGAGATATTTCATTATGTGCTCGCATGTACGTGAGTATAAGAATACCTCATAACGCACCATCTAATTTGACATATTTATGTATAAAACGGGCCCGCGCGTAATTTGTTCAGTGAGCATAGCATTTTATTGAGATGGAGAATAACCGTCGATTTTGTGGATCCAACAGTTTTTCTTCTCAATGTAGTAATACTCGATAAAGCTTTAATAACGATTACTCATTATTTATTCCGCCCGACATGTCCTTTGAAACGCAACGCCGCTTCAAGCGAACAACTCGACAATGCAGATCGCCGTCGCGTGGCGCGCAGACGTACGGTAACATCGTGCAGTTGAATCCGCAACTCGAGTTGAGGATAACGCAAATGAAATTCCTGACGTCCGGCGGCGGAACAGCTGAATCGCAAATACGCGCAACTCCGTATACGTCACGTTCCAATATTAACCAGGTCCTTATTTGTTAAACCGGCAGCCGTAGATAAAACATTCTTTACAACTACGGGGTGGGCAACGCGCGATCGCCAAGTTCCGGACGCAACTCCGGCGGGACAAGAAGCGCCAACCGGCGGTACATTGTTGATTTGCAAACCGCGCGCAAAGTTTCACTCAGCGTATCAACACGCCGCGCGCGCGCGCAAAACACTCGGCCCGACCAGCGTATTTCACGAAGATACATCGAGCTGTACAACGGCCGTGCGATAAAACCATTACGCTACAACGAAATTAATCAACGTTTTAATGCCACGCGGCCGCGAATCAGTACCTACGAAATTAGTTTCTAATTAATGCACACACACCGTCCGCGCGCTTTTTAATGCCGCAACATCGTACCTCCATTTAACCGCGGCGTAAATAATCCCGTATCACTTCAGGACTCGCAATTCCCGCGCTTTCGCGCGATTCGTTATCGCCCGGGATTGTTCAAACGACGTTTAAAATGTAACGCTAATGGCTCGGGCTAATTGTCGAGCAAATTGGGAGGCTCGCGCGAGATTGCGTAACGTTATTTACATGCGAAGGGTTCGCGCGGGGGAAGCGTTGCGCGGAATGCTCGCGTCGCGTTCATGCCGTATCACCGGGAGATCTCGCGGGCGAGATCTCGCGATCGAGCCTGAGATCCGCGCGGACTTGTTGAAACGGCCGGCGTCAAGATGCCCTGCGTCAGCTCGTAACGGTAGCCCGCGCGGTAAATGCGACGAAAGTCACGCTATTCGTAAGAACGAGCCACCGCGGCGGATCTCGCTCGCTGATTGCGCCGGAAATTACAGGTGTGGACGAGCAGGGACGTGACACCCCCTCGGCGCTGCCAAGTGGTCGCGACGTGCACTTGCTGCTATCGACGGAAGTGTTGCCGTTTTATCAGGCCACGCCCGACGTGCGACGTGTCGAGCGTCCGCGCGATCCGATCGCCGTCGAAGAGCCGCGGACTCCGGGATTTAAATACTTGGAAACTTTCGCGATCTCAACGAGCGCCCTCCGCAATCTGGCATAAGGGCCTATCAAGCCGGCGTGATGTAGCTCGCAGCTGCACTTACGCTAAACTTCCCGGATGACATCCGCCGTTATTATCAACCGTCTCCCGGTGCGCCGGGATGATGTACAATAGAACGTGTTACTTTAGAGAGCACCCTGGATCCCGCCGCTTCTTAATAGAGTTGAACTATTTTAATGAGGAACCGCGCCGGGGACGGTTCCGCCGCCGGAATATCCACATTTTCGGCGATCCCGTCGCTCGGCCACGTTAACCTCCCCGCCTCCTCTCCGCCGTTCCTTTACGAGAACACTCTATTTGAGAAGACAGTTCTCCGCGCGACTGTGTGGCGTCAAATTAAGACGGCACGCGAGATGGATAACGCTTGATGACGGCTTTACGATCCTTCAGCAGCGAGACGTGATGTATAGTATCGCCTTGCCAGATCGGATAACTAGATTAAAGGCAAGGCGAGGCTGATAAGCGGACGGCCTCCGTTTGATGTATAAACGCCGACGATCAACTTGACCGTGCGGTTTCTCTAACCGGTATTAATTGTGCACTCGACTCAATTGACCGTGTAACTTTTTCGCCGCTCCCGGACCGGCAATCAGCGCTGTTTAACACTTTACCTAACCACGCTGGTAAAACTAGACAGCTGACTATAATTTTATTCTTACATACAGAATTATTATTATTATGTATATATATATATAATAGGTGAAATTATTATATATGAAAAATCACACGATTGCACGTGTCGATAGATTTTTCGGCGGTGAAGCGTTAAGATACTTGAAAGCATTGCACCTTTGCTTATCGCGATTAATAATTCGCGACGGAGAAGGGACGGAATTCGTCAGCGTGCAACAGCGAGGCCGCGGGCGAACCTGCATTATGCGCCGCGGCGAGAATTGCTAAATCTAATTTCGCGTATCCCACTATTGTCGCCGTACTAACGCTATCTCCGGAGTCGTAAGCATTGGCTTAACGGTGGCACTATACGTGTACGCTGCGCCGTTGTATTCGTTGGAGAGCGCGGGAGAAGGACGCGTCAGATGAAAATCGAATCATGCAATTAAGCCTGATTCATTTGTCGCTCCCGTAACGCGCGCGCTAATTACGCAAACGGATTCCCCGGTGTCGATATCCGCGAGGCCTCTCCTTAGACCTTCTCTCGAGAGAGACGCGAACAAGATCCCGCGCGGAATCCGATGAAAGATGAAGCGGCGGACGGAAGGAAATAGGGGGGGGGGGGGAAAANATAACGCAATGAAATAACAAGGTAAAATTGTAAATAAAGTATTTCATTGCGAATTCACGCAATTCGTGTTTTCCGATATTTCGTCACGCAGGGGACCGATTAAATTATCGCGTTTAGTTCGTCAATTGTAGGTTAGCGCAACAATACGGCGGCTAATTGTTGGACGTTGAAAATCAGCCGTGTATTACCGCGCCGTTATTGCCAACGAAATTTGACCGTTCTCTTCGAGCGACGCAGCACGAAGGGAGATGGTATGATTCTAACATGCGAGATTCGGTATACGATGGAGAAAAAAAACGGTGACCGAAGTATTCCCGAAAGCCTCTTTTCATAGCAGCGCTACGAGAATGTCGTCGACCCCGATTCCCTCGCGAGACTATTGTTATTTTTACGACGGATCTAGCCAATTGCTCCTCCAGATAACGTTCTCACCGAGCGTAAGAAAAAAAGTAAGAATTGGCTCTTCAGGGCGTCGAACCGTGCCTTCCAAAATCTGATTTCACACACGGTTTACTTCGCGTGGCTTTGGCAGTTGGCCCTAAGTAGATAACCTTTCTCAGTGTTCATAGGGACGAGGATCAGCGCGAAGTCGATTATATATCTCCCTCGAGATCACGATGATAAACGGCCGAAGGATCCGAAAGTACATTTCAATATCGACTCTGCGTAAATTTTTCCGCAAAATCCTACCGACTGCCAGTCTCGTAATCGAGATAATATCTTGTATTACTTTTTCTTTTTCGCTGAAACGTTTGATTCGTCCTGCGCCTGCGTTTCATTATCGTCGCATTCAGGATATAAAGTATTTTAACGTTACCTGTACACTGCATTGTTCGAGCATTATCGAAATCATCGCAGCGTGACGTGTCAATGCATACATCCGATCGGGCAATTTTACTTCCGATGGAGTACCTTGACATATTTAATCGCATATTTATTAGCAACCACGAGTTGCTGCAAATCCGTTACAGACCACTGACCGTGGGACAATGTAATCATATTCGTATCGGAACCACTCTGCCAAAATCTATTTTGATCGCGCTCGATGACTGCTACGCCAAATGCACACACATCTACCGATAAATCCACCCGGTCGCGATTTTTTCTCATGCGATATTGGATAATCTCGTTATCGCTCGAAATAGGAAATAACCTGGAAAAAGATTGGACAAACCTGTTTCTCCGTACGTAGGCGCGCGGCATTAATGAGGACGATATTGCGGGTGAAATTTGTGACGCGGAAAAAAGGTGTGTATATTCGGGCTGATAGATAGGAAAATTCAGAGAAATCGCGAAAGCTCGAATCAATATGGATAAGTCCCGATATATCCTTTCGTGAGAAATGAAGCTCACTCGACAAAGAGACCCGAGGTCTTTCTCGTCGGAAGAGTGAATTAACATCTAATAAAAGGGGGGAAACTTTACGATATGAAAGTGCGTTCAAGCGAATAGGGCGTTTCATGAATACGATATGATAAAAGCTAGCGCGCGTTATTAAAGTATAACCGACCATTCGGATAAAAAATTTACCGAACATAATATATTAAGTAGAAAAAATACCGGCGTAGTCGCGCGAGAGAAGCTTTTACCCGCCCAGGCGGGCGCGAGGGTACGCAATAATCGACATAAATATTAAAGACTTGTTTATATGCAAACACAGGTAGTATAGAAAAAATGTAATTACATGTACAATTACCAAGTGGATACTGACAGGAACCACGGGTTATAATCAACATTAATATTATTCTCAATATCGCGGCGGAGAGAGGTAACTCTGGATGGTACACGTTAGATCAAACAAAAACTTTTAACCATTTTAAGTATTTCAGTCTTTCAACGCAATGAAATACTTTATTTACAATTTTACCTCGAGCCCCTCTAAGACTTTTTTCAGATTAACTACGATACAGAACGCGTCATGGTTGATCTAAAAACAAAGAAGAATTCTAACCATTGTTCCAAAAAACGAAACTATCGTTCCACGAGACGAAACTGCCGACCTAGAAAGCGTTTAACCATTTTAACGATTTTAACGTCTAAAGGAGGAAATAACATTTCGCAATTTCTTCCCATTTTTAAGTTTTCTAAGATCTACTTTAGATCGGCCACGATATGAGCGAAAGGATTTAAGCTAGATCAGCACTTATCAAGGCGACGCGCTGCAACGTAATGCATATTAAATGAATGCTTCACATTGAAGCCAGTACAGCACAGCGGTGCAGCCTGAAAGCAATGCATTGGCTTGTTGTTTACTAGAATAACAACAAAAATCCGCAATATTGAATTCATCGACTAAATGCAACCTCTCTGCA